CCCCCCAGCCTGGCCACCCCGGGAAGCCGGGTCAGCACGGTGCGGTCCAGCTGAGGACAGGGCAGGCCTGAGCCCACCAGATGCCATGGTTATTCACATCTCAAAGACCAGCCCTTCCCAGCGTTCATTGGACTCTTGAATGTGGCAGGGGAAACCTCACAGGAAACTTGCTTGTTTCTCTGTTCAAGAAAAGGGAAGGGCAGGGAGGAAGGGGACGAAGAACAAGAGTGAAAGTGATAACAGAGCTAACGAGCTGCACATCAGCTGACACACCATGATAGGGTAGTCATCTCTGTCCATCTGCTACTCCTTCATACACTCTTCCTACATCCTCCAGGCTTTCAAATACACTGTCTTCAATTCCTAACTCTAAACCACAGGGACCATCTCCCATTACTTGGAGAAAGGCATGTTTATCGGGGAGTCAGGTCATCCTTTTCTCTTTCCTTTAGAGGTTGAACACCAACTAGGTGAGAGATGGTGCAGCAAGTGCCTTTTTCTTTTTTGATTCTTCCTTGTAAACTTTCTAGTACCCAACGCTACTTTTAAGTCTTTGGTGGGGGGAGGGAGAGACTTCTAAGCTTTGCTTCAGTATAAGCTACTGTATGATATATAACTCTTCAGTGAGTTGAGACTCCTCCAGGACAATGTTCTGTAGTGTGTGAAATATTAGTGGGTCACTATGGAAATCTGCTCATATTTTAATTTGGCTACAAGTAAGGGCATGGTGTGAGTGTGCGTCAAACCACAATTCTGTAACATTTGCCTTATCCAGAGCAAAGATTTATTCACTGAAAAGGTTCCTACATATCCAGAACTTCATTAGCATAGAGTGCACTTGTTTTTCCTTTTTCTTTCTTTTTTTTTTTTTTTTTGCATCAGTTGCATAAACTAATACAGAAACCTTTGTTAATACTAACAATTTTTAATTTAATAGCAATTCTGGAAGACACTCAGTTGATAGAAAATATAAAAAAAATTTACTGTACAAAGTTTACATCACATTTGAAAAGAAAACGTGTCCATTTTCACCATATTACAGACTCCATTTACATTCACTACTGACGTGTGGCTATTGTAGCAGCATCGTACAGCCAGGTTCACATTTACAAGTCTAAAATGATGCAGGCTTACCATGCTATTCACTCCTTCACATCTCTGCAAGAGGAGATAGTACAAGTGATCATAAAACAATGCAGTGTAATGACCCCCACTTGGTTTGCAATGCCTTAATAAGAGACCTTGACTCTTCACAAAAGTACAACGCCACTGGTGTCACTCGATTTCCATGTGTCTTAACAGCAGCTGACTTACACCAGAGAATAATCATGCCCAGAAACAAGAATCAGTCCCTCCTTTAAAATACTGGATCTAGGTGGCTGGGTTTTGCTTTTAAAAGAGCAATTTTAGAGCAGTTAAACACAGAACCAAGATAAGGTTGAATTAGAATCTCAAATCTCATGATTAAAGCCAGGTTTTGAACCCTTCCCGCACCTCGGACAGAGCACAGGGTGCAACTCCAGAGCACTAGCAGCCGGGCCGAGGTGCGGTGGGCTCGGTGCCGCGCAGCTGGGGCGCAGGGATCGGGTTCTCCCACTGCAGTTCAACATGCTTTAAAGCACCGCATGTAGGACCTCAGGTTTTAAGCAAAAGGCCCTGCTGAAACAGATGGGGAAGCTCTGCCTAAAAGCAGAGGTGCCAGCACAGCTCTGTGCCTGGAAACAGTCTTTGCAGACAGTGTTTGAATCCCACCTGAGGGCAGTGGTGGGAAGGACAAACGGTGCTAGATTCCCTCTCCTCTCCCCCTTTCTTTTAGCTGGCTGCTCCTCTAGTGCTGGCTCCCCTCCTCCTAGCCAGCCATCTGACAGAAAAAGTTTAAGAATATATTGCTTTGTCAGCGTTACACTTGTCACAGTGATGTTAATGCTGATGAAGAAGCAAGGAAACGCTCTGTCTCGCTAAGCTGTGGAGTCGCACACTGAGAAGTTTTGGGTGTCCCAGCTTTAGGGAATGCAGATGGCAGAAATAAATAGTGAGGAGCACACCAAGGGTTGCTGCTGCCACCCTTGAATGCAGAAGCAGCTAACAGGCTGTTCAGAGCTGAAGGCTACAAAGCAATGGTTTGCTCTAAGTACCAGATGTTTTTGGTTTTTTGGTTTGTTTGTTTGTTTTCCTCTCTCTAAGGCAAAACGCATAGTGAAGCCAATGGAGGTTTCTGTCTACCGTTGCTACACGTGCTACGAAGCACGTTTCTCCCTGCTTTGAGCTTGTATTGTGCTATCGCTATTTAAGCAGTACTTGCAAGGAAAACAAATTCTGCTTAAAACTGCTGACACAACTTGAATCTTATTGTGAGAGAACAAACAGTAGTAAGACCCAAGAGGCATAGGTTAAACACACAGGTATACTTGGAAGGGTCTTATTTGCTTAGTAAAATGAAGTGGTGGGAGAGGGAGGATATTAAGAGTATTGCAGTGCCACACTGGGCCACCACCAAACGAATATATATATATATTTTTGTTTGAGATGCATTTAAAAAGTCATTCTAGTACAATAATTGTAAAAAAAAAAAAAAAAAAAACTGTTGACTTGTATGTATAGTAGGAGTTAAGTTTTCTGCCCAACAGAACTCAAGAATTTTTTTGTCACTTAATTTTGCTCTGAAAATTGGCCACCGTAAGCAGCTGAACTGAGTGCTTACTGCTCTGCTTGCCTTGGAGAACTTCAGAGCTCTTTTTTCTATGAACCTTGTTTCAAAGCCTTGTAAACTACAAACCCCTACTACACCTTTCACCGTAATGTGCTAGTACTGTGAAGTAGCACCTTTGGAGAAATGAAATTCAGTGACTCCTAGGGAGTCCTGATGAACTATCTCAACAAAATAAAATAGTATAAGGACAGAAGGAATCTCAGTGTTCGTTGTATAACTAGGGTCCCTCTGCTGCCCTGGCTTGCTGGAGATGGCAGAGCAATGGGAATGGGAGGCGTGAAGGAGCCTTCCTTGCACTGCTTGCCATTTGCTGTTTGATTTGCAAGTGGGATGATGCCTCTGTTGCCTTCGCTGTGTAATCGGATGCAGCCCTTCTAACCTGCGTATCAGACTGAAGTCTTAAAATTAACCTTTGAAACAAGTCTGAGCTGTTGGGGTGAGTCAAGTCACCAAGATGTTACTTTCCTAGTTGCAAGGTTTTGGTCGTTCCTTGTTTTAAAAAATTTAAGACTAAAACAGTTCCCCCCTGCCCCTTTTTTCTTCCTGGGGAGAACTAACAGTTTGCAAACTTATAGGAGCTGGTAAGCGTATGTGTGTGGAGGTGGGGGAAATGAGTGAATATCTTAACAAGTTCTGCACATGAGGACCTTATTTAACAGAAAACAGATTTGTTATGGCTGTCCCCCCCCACCCCCAACTTGTCTCTCTTCCTTCTCCTGCAGCTCTGAAAAAATGTTTTCTCCACAAGTGAAATGCTGGCTGGGGCAGCAAGAGTCTAGTCTTGCTGGTCAGTGTTTTATTTCTAGAAATGCTGCTAATTTAGGGGACTGGGATTTGATGTGCCCGAAACTTCAGAAGAAGAATTCGGCACCTGGGATCTAACATTCCTTCCTGTGCACAAAACTAAAACTAGTCTTAGCAGCACATGTGCAACAGATGATTTGGCCCTCTTTTTTTTTTTTTTTAAAAAAAAAAAGAAACTCAAATAGCAGATTGTTTCTTCTCTTATTTGGCTGCCTTGGGCTTCTGCTAAATCCAGCACCATTCCCAAACCAGCACAGAGCGTGCTGTCATCCCTCCATGGCTGAAGGCTCCTAAAGCATCCCTTTGCCTTTCCACCTCCCTAGCTGTCCTTGCCCAGGGTGACTTCTTTTGGTTTCACCAGCTCCTATTTGGTAGAGTTCACTCCTAAACCCTCTTTGTGCTCAAACCTGCCTGAGTTGGGAGGAGTTTTAAGGGAAGGCTGCTGCAGAAATGTAAGGGCAGGGAGTTAACTACTTTCTGGCCTGACCTGGCATGGGTGACAAGTAAGCCTCCAAGCCACCTGCACCTCCAAGCCCCTCACTTACGTGCTGAGGGTTTAAAGAAACGCCCAAGCTCTTCAGGAATCCTCTTTGGCCTAGCCTGAGCAGTCAGCAGGGCACAGAGCAGCATACATGACCTCCCCAAGGAAGCAAGCTGCATTTCTTCATCCTGAGGTGTAAGAAGCCATTGGCGTGACTTTTCAGGCTTAGCTCCAGCAAAGCCAACAGGAGCAGAAGGTGCCTTCAGTTTACAGAGTGAAGCTGTTAAGGCATCACTCTGCAGGTACTGCTCCCTCTTGGGGCCAAAAGAGAATTTAAGGCAGTTCCTCATTTAAAAGCTACTTTTTTTTTTTTCTCCTTCCCCTAAAGGCCAGTCATTGGTTACTGTCTTAATCCTGCTACTGGACTATATGAGAGCAAGCAGCATTTATTGTGATTTCTGTGTAGAAGAGGCCTTGATGCTGTCTTTTAACTGAAATCTAGCCTATGTGATAACAAACTCTACTATCAGAAGCAGATTTGCACCAGTGTAACTTAAACTGAGGTAACCCAGAGCTTAGACCAACCCCTCTGAAGCAAATCAGAGCTCAGTGATTAGTTTGGCCACATCACAATGCAATAGATTAATTTTTACCTTACTGAAAGAAAAATGCAGTTGATAACTCCATTCCCTTACACTGGATACACAGCCATTCTGAAGCGAACCTGTTCCACTTGTCTTATTGAAAACAAATCCTTTGGAGGCAGAAGATAGCTCCTATTTATACCATAAATACAAGAAGGAACTAGAAAGTTGGTTTGGTTTTTTTTCCAGTGCTGTTTGAATGGCTGTAGTTAAACTTGATTCATGTTTTATTATGCTTAAAAAAATATAGTTCACACAAGTATAATGTAAACATTCTTTAAGTAGCTGCTGGTGCTCCGGCAGAATTCAGACTTTGCAAACAACACAGGACTGAACTGACGGTCGTGTGGCTGCACCAGTTTCATAGCTTGGAAGATTCTGTGAAGGTTTCTGATGCTTTGTGTAAGTAGAAGGTAGACAACGTTATCACAAGACAACTACACACCATGCTATATCTTTTGATTACTTGGTTCCAGGATTCCCAAGCCAAATCTTTCAAAACGCAGGACAACTTTGCTACTGTTAATGCTGAAAAGAGCAGGGAGGGAGAGGAGAAGGGAGAGGGAAAGAATTATTTTTAATTCCTTTTACAAAGCTAGAGTCCTACAAAAAGAAATAAAATGGGTTAGATTCTGATCTCATACAACTTCATATCATCTTGCAAAGAGGTTTAAGTAACCACGCAACACAGTGAACTTATTCATGCTAACCTCATCACTGGAAACACACAGCACAAATCTGATTTGCTTCAAATTGGAGAAGTAAAGCCTGGAAAACCAGAGATTTTCATAAATGTCTACAGTGGGTCAGATGCCTGACAGCTGTTTTCAATGGGCACTGGGTTCCCTTGGCGTAGAAGGGAAGGAAAAAATGACTTACAGAATTTCTTTAAGGGAAAGGAGCATTTTGACAAGATATATTAATTGTTTTTTAAAAAAAATTGCTCCTCTTCACAGACTGTAGCAAGTGCATAAAGATGTATTTTTTTTAAGATAAAGTTAGCATAGCTAGAAACACTTTCACTTGCAAACTGCCTTTCTACATACATGCACTCAGGTGATGGCAAGACAGACAGCCTGAATGTGAGCTCCGGCAGGAGACTTTTCATTGTAGCATGCAGGCACCTGAGTTTCTGAGGGAATGAGTATGGGTGTATTTGTCCTCACTGAAAATAGTTTTAAAAAAAAAAAAAAACTCTCTGGTTTTTGTTGCTCACCCTCCTCTGTCCCCATCCTTTCACTCCTGAAACAAGGTATTTTTCAAAATTATGAATCATTAACAAATGAAAAAAGACCTGTCATAAAAAGGCACATATTTGCTGGGCTAGGTACAATTCTGCAAAGCCCCTAATGCCAGGTCAGGCATTTTGTTGAACAGAGGAGGCAAACAAAAGCAAATCATAAAACACAAATAGTTGGATTTGCAAGGAAGGGAGAAAAAGGAACAGAAAGGAGCTCTTGCTTAATTCCTCTTAAACAGCACTGCAGCTGATCCTGGCTGACCCGTGTGGACCAAGCCTATTGTCCTGACTGCTGCAACTCTGACTTTGGAGCAGCGCTGGCAGCCTGGCCCCAGGTAGGCTTAGGGACTACAGCCTGCCCCAAGCAGAGCAAGGACCATCCTTCTCTTCACACGAGTCATTTGATGCTTCATCCAGCCCCCAACAAAATTGCCACTGGCTTCAATGTAATGCTGGCTCTGGTCCCAAGAGCAAGAGAGATCTGGCATAATCTGGCCCTTAACTTCTGTTGGTTTGCAGTTCAAGTTGTGTGCTCAGTTATCAGCTGTGCCCAGGGAATGCACCTTTTATCTTCAGTCACAAGCCACCGTCTAGCACTAAGGATGACAGGCATAACCTCAGACAACAACTAGAAACTGTACCCTCTGCTACACGAGACTTGCAGGACATACACAGTCATAACAGTTTCAACAAAACCCCCAAACTGCTGGGCGGGACACGTGCGGCACTGTTGTTTGCACCCTGCTAGTTAGAGAGCAGGTTACTAGAACGTTTCCAGGAAGAAGTTACAGCCTGCTGAAATGCTTCAGAAGTGAAAGATGGCCGTGTTGTTAGACAGTAACTTCTTGCAGACAGTTGTTGTTATTCAAGCTAACAGCCCACACCAAGCAGAAAAAGGCAGAAAAGGAGAATTCTGATAAAGTGTTGATTACGTCCATGGGTTAATTTGGTTTGGTTTTGGTGGGTTTTTTTGTTTGTTTGTTTTAAATGGAAGGTGATTGTCCAAGTTGCCGATTAGGATACAACACATGGAAGCATGCAAGGTGGAGCCCATTACTGCACCAGTAGCTACAACCTACAAAGAAATATGGGAGGGAAGGGAAAAAGACACCGTGAGAGTTAGTTTTCAGTTATTTAAAGCAAGCTTTTGAGAACTACATATTACAAAGCTTACACCAAAATAAAGCATGGGGTTAGTGCAATGTTTCTCGAAGGATTTGTCAGAGGGGATGTGTTTGCAGGGGGTGAACAACAACTGAGTTGCCTGCCCTTTCATTTCAATGGGTACTAATTCAGCTGTCAACATTGATAATGAACACTGACAGTTAAAATATTTCTCTGCTCAAAGCATGCAAGAAGGGTGAAGTATTAATGTATGCAGATTTACATGCCCCACAGGCAGAGGGAAGGGTGTCTGTCTACGTAGGGAAAATAATCAGGGTAGCTGCTACGTTAGACACGATTCCACAGTTCCACAAGCTGTTCAAGAATAATTCCCTATGGAAACACTAATCCAAAATAACTACCTGGCAAATTACTCTGGAATTGAGCATTCTCATGCACTGATGGCCCAAATGGGAAGCATTACTTCAAGTTAATTTCCAGTGTGATGTTAGAGGACAGTGCAATAGTGTGATTTTTCTGCAGGGCAAAGTGTAGGCAGTCTGGGCTCTGCCTGCTCTGTAGCGTCTAGTTAGGTAGGTGAAAAGATCCCAAAACCGTTGTCAGAGTTAACAGTCCAACACAAATGGCTCTTATTGTATAGAGAAATGAGGGTGTGAAAGTGTTGCCATACAGGACACTGGTGTTGGAGTATACTGTGTTTCCGTAGCAAGGAAAAAATATTTCCAAGAGGACTCTGCCATGTTATACAAATCTCCTAGCAAAAGAACTGTTGTGTTATGTTTTGAGGACAACTTAAATTCAATCGCCCTCCTTTGAGAGAGTGGAGGATTAGTTTAAAAAAAAAAAAAAAAAAAAGCCACAAATGAGGCTGAATGACTTAAGGAACTGAAAAGCACGTACTCAAGGTAGCTGCTACAGATATGGCCAGTGCAAACTGTGTCCAGAAACATGGTTGAAACGCATGGGTTATGTGGAATAAGCGTGCTCAGGGGAAGAGCCAGGGCATGTTTTTGGTTTCTTCAAAACCACCTCAGTTGGCAGATCCTGCACCTTTTCAAAGCCAGGCTGCATACCCCTGGGAACGCAGGACCAGGCAGGGCCCTGCAGCACAGCCCTGTCTTAACCTCTCACTGCGGAGACATGTTTCACCACTCAGACTCATTCCTAAACCTGTTGCTTGTACCTCTTCTTGCCAACAGTCACCATTAGGTGCTTTTGCCTGTTCCTAAGCTAAAGGATGCAGGCAGGACTCGATTACTCGTCAATGATGAAAATGACAGAACCTTGATGATCATCACATTTTGCAGCCTATAGGTTGGTGTCAAAAGGTCACTGTAACATTCATGTTTTATTCTTACATTTGATCTTGTTTAGTCTCATTATTGTGCTGGACCAGATTTTATGGGTACTGATTTCCTTCTAATTGCTCTGAGCGTAGTAGCATCACTTGCTCTCTAACCCCACAACATGCATGAAAGATTTATGTTCAAAATGCTTTAAGCCAGAAGAAGGAAAAAATTAAATGTTTCTCTTAAATTACAACTGAAAAACAGGTAAGGAGGAGCAATTGCATACAGCTACACTTTTAGCTCTATCTTTGCTGGTTTCTCTTCAGGTTTTATTTATGTTAATCCTGAAAATTGAAATCACAAGGACTGACACTGTAGCTATGATGGTTCTCCTAAAGTAATAAGCGTTCAGGGTGCAGAGAGATACCTTGTCTCTCAACTGTATGCCACAACATAGAAGCAATAATTGATGAGGCAAATAACTACTGTCAAATGTAAGAATACTTTACATCTCTCCTTTTTGATGTATCCTTTTTAAAAGGAGTGCTGTGAGTTGCATATACACCCGTCCAGTGCAGGGAACAAAATCACAGATCTGTTTATGAGTGACTGGATAGTAAATATTGAATCTTTTGTTGATAGTAATGCCTTTTTGTATAATGACGGTGCCATGGTCTTTAGAGAAGCATTTGCCATTTTGAAATTATTAAATATCATAATGTATTAAGGATTTAGTACTAGTGTTAGGGAAATTGCACAAGAGACAAAAGGTGAAACTTTCAACCAAAGCTCCAAACAAACCAAACCTGCTAAAGCACAAAATGCCGTGACAGTTGCCATACAAGTAAACACAAGTATTTGGGTAGTTATGGTAAGATATTGCAGGAAGATCATGAAGCGTTATGGGAATGAAAGGGGTAGATTAAACATCAAAAAGGAGAGAAAAGAGAAAACAAACATTAGAGGTTTGGTTGATGAAAATAAATACTGAGAAAACTACTTGGTGAATGTGCACTAGCTGCAAATGTGTCCGGTTTCTCACAGATTTTGTTTTTTAAGGAAAAAAAAAATAGTGAATTCACCAAAATATAACCTTGTGACTAAAGGAAATATTAAGGTGTCCCTGAAACTAGACCAGCTTTCCTATGCTGGGACTTGAAGGCCCAAGCTCACTAACAGATGTAAATAGGAGGCTCCTCAGGAGCACAGGATGTCAGCAGTGGAGACCAGACAGCTGACCTAAAACTGGCCTGGAATGGGATGTGGGTTTCAAATCTCTAGGCTCCAAGATTGTATCTATTTTACTTCCACTTTAGTCAATAGAGAGACTTCTGCCGATCTGAGCAGAAGTAAAAGTGGGAATCATCTTTGACTGAGAGACTGACAGGCTATCCATGAGAACGGAGACTGAAAGTGTTAGGCCCTGTGGCTTCATGTTAATGCAATCTGAACTAGAATGCATTTTATATCCTGGTCCGATCTATCATCACAGATGTCACAGGTTGCATCAGCCAGATATCTTTAAGGGATCTCTTCCAGTTTTGACAGTTTATAAATTCTTGATCTTATGAAAACTTTCTTCCATAATTGCAGCAAAGAATCTGACTTGAAAGTATTGTGAACTGACAAGAATTTAAGCTCACATTTCAGTATTTATCTTTATTTGGTCCAAATCTTGACGCGACTCCAACTTAGATTCAGTCCAAACTCTGCAGTTTGCTCCTAGCTGTCAATTTAGTGTACTGTGTGTATCAAGCAATTTAGAGATTCTGACGATAATTACCACTTATTTTTTTTCTCCAAAACCGATTATTCTGCATCAGCAATAAGACTGCATTTATTTATCTGCCTGTGCGAACTGGGCATTTTTCCATCCTCCTTAAAGAGGAGGAGGGTTTTCTTCTTTTTCTAGCATGCTCCTTGAAGAAGGTTGCAAGCTTAAGATTCTTCTGTAATTTGGTAGTTCAGGTTCAAAGGCAAACTGTGGCATGCTCTCTGGCCCTTTCCTTGCTCAGTCGCAGGGGAAATTCTAACTACTTTGGGGTCAGTGCAGGCCATTTCCAGTGCTGGTAGATTTTCCCTTGGAAACCAAACATGCAGCCAGGCAAATAACTTATTGAAAGAGGGAGGGGACTATGCTGAAGTAGAAATCCAACTGTTTGAAGTGTGTGCACATTTTATTGCATAATCTCCTAGTAACTAGAAAAGTAGAACAGCACACTATTACTCTCTCATCAGAGGTCTGACAGCTGCCAGAAAGGCAAAATAAAGGACAGAAATGATCATTTAGCAAATTCTGAGTAGGAGAAGCATTCTAAGTAGTAGCAGATACTTACTCTGCAGATTTCCAGAAGTGCCCTGGGTGGGAGAGCCGACGATTCAATTTTGGCAGTTTTTCAAGCATATCCATAAGGACGGTGAAGCTAGGTCTCTCACTGAGTTCAAACGACCAGCATGCTGAGAGAATTTCCTGCAAAGGATATTTGTGGCTTTTTTTATCTCCAGTTAATTCACAGGTTAACTGTTCAGACGAAGCAACTGCTTGAGCACTCCGATTAATGGGAGCCCAGCTAGGGATCCTTACTTAAAAAAAAAGTCTTTGACATTCTTATTGATAAATATCCCAGGTACTTGTGGATGTCCCCTTCTCTATGATAGTTGTGGGCAGAGGCTTGGTATCTAATCTGGTATCTAGTTCTAATATGCTCTCTCTCTTGCTCTTTTTCCTGTTGCAGTAAGATAAACCTTCTCTTTAAGCAGCTCCCTTTTTCCCAGCTCCCTGGTAAACAGCTATCTGTAAAGATTCTGCCACTGAGGTACTTACATTGACTTCTTTCCCCAAACTAACTGTTGCAAGGACTTGTTTCACACCTTCGCCACTCCCAATTTGCCAAATAAGCGCCTCTGCAGGCTGGTTCTTGAAAGGCCATTCTCTTGCTTGGAGCTCATACCACACAGTCCTGAAACATCAACAGACATATCAAGGCTTGGCCTGCTCTTAAGAGGAAGACAGAAAACCCTGACACAGTTGCAATTGCTTCAGATAAGCTCTGGCAGGTGCATAAGGCTGTGCAGCAAACCCCTTCCACCCCGCTCACCCTTCTGTCAAACTGTCATGCCCACATCTTCTTCAGTTGGTAAGGAAAAAGCATGCTAGCTAGAATCTTGAGTCTGTGAGAAGACCACCAGCAACTTGCAAAGCTCAGGTCTGTAAACAAATTCTAATTTAGCAAGCTACCATGGCACTCTTGGCTGTGTCTTACCCAAAAGCATAGATATCTGCAGCTTTGGAGAAAGGCAGCCTATCTTCATCTTTCCCAGGGGCCATCTCACGAACGATTTCAGGGGCCAGGTAGCATAACCAGTCATGAGGCAGCTTCAATTCATTCTCTCTCCTGAGTTCAAGAAAAAGAAGTGGTACTGGAAAACTACTTCAAGCTCAAAACAGCACAGGGCCCATATCTGTGCCTCACCTAATACTTTGACTTTAGGTACTCGGATGTTTTCGCTGACATTTCTTTCCAAGTTTCTTGTCATATTAAACAACATGTACATCTTGGCCTGACTCTCCAGTTCATTTTTGGGCTTAAAGTCATCTTTGTTCTGTGTTGTGAGCCTTAGTCCATCCATAACTTTCTAGCCCTATGCTACTGGAAGTGTAAGGTGGACTCTGTTTTAATGAAAAGTGCATGTTCCAAAATGTGTGTATATACTAAACCAATTGACATTCCTCACTTGCACTGTGCAATGCATCAAAACAACGTCACCTCTTTGTTCACTACTTACTCTAGAAGTGGACCAGGCATTGAAATCTCCACTTACCTTCCTTCCTGAACGACACCCGAAATTCCAAATAATCCAAAGTCAGTGATCACAACTTTCCCATTGTCATAGAAAACATTCTTGGATTTCAGATCCTTATGTACAATCCCTTTTGCATGAAGATACCCCATGCCCTGGAAAAAAGTTTATTTGCAGAGATGTAATATTTTTTTCCCCCTCCTCTAACTCTGGGTGTGCCTTGCTTTTAGATTGCTTTCATAAGTTTACCCTCATTACTTGTGCATAAGTCATCACTTGCAAGTGGAGACACAGCAGCTGTCTGATTTATGCAGGGTGCAAGGGAAGCCTGCAAGGAAGCAGGTCTGAGTTTAATGCTTAACCTCTGACTTGTTTTTCATCCTCTGCATAGTAGGGCTGCGGGAAGGCTGAGAGGGGGACCCTTAAGTGGCTGTAGAACTCGCAGTTCCTAGGAAGTCTGCACATATAAGAACAATGAACCACTGACACAAGCTTGTTCAGTACTGAACTAAACTCATAGTGTTTCTGCCCAAAGAGGAAACAGCGGCTTTGAAGATGCTATTTTAGTTGAGCAATATTTAAAGCGAGTACAGAAAATGCTGTGCAAATAAGGGAGAAAATGGCCTCTAATTCAGAATATGTTAACTTAGTGGCAGTTAGTTATACACAGCAGAAACCGGGAAGGTAATCTGTCCTGCATGCGCTTCTTTATGGTTCCTTCTATCTAAATTCTCCATCCCCAGCCCCTTACTGACAAGCAAGAAGGCCTATTTCTGATCCCTACAGCCCCTTAGCTTACTGCCCACTAAATTAGCACTGTTCTTTCAGCCCACTTCACATTTCTCCTGCTACAACGCCTTGTTGGGCTGTTGGGACTTACAGACCCCCTCCAGCTGTACAGCTAAGGCAATGCCCAGAAAGCAGATGCCTCCTCTGTTAGCATAACATACTCTTACCTTAATGATCTCCTGTGCTATCTGCCTGGTTTTATTAATATCCAGGGATATCTTGGGGTCCCTTACAAATGAATGGAGGGTCCTTCCTTTGCAGAAGCTACAGGAAAGAGGAACAAGAATCTTGAAAAATGTCTTTAAAATACTGGAGGGAAATAAATTTAACACTGAATGTTCAATTTGTTTTCTTGTCACGTTGGTGGAATCCCATCCCTCTTCCCACTGCTAAAAAGTGCCCTTTTAAAGAACTTTAATTGATTTACAGCTCTGTGTGTGAGTGTACACATGTACAGGTGTCGTCTTGTCAGAAAAAAGGTGTTCAAGGATATGTAACAAATGCTGATGTATTTCTTCAGAGGCCCACTTCTCATTATGCTGTTCTTACTACTGAAGTCCAGTTTTCAAAGCTGAGCACCAGATTCTGCCTGCAGTGCTACTAGGGACTTAAACAGGAAACCGATTTTGGAATCGGCACCTAGAAATGACTAAGTACCTCCTTGCTAGACCATGAGAAAATTGCTCTCAGCCTTAGTTCAGTTCAGCCTGCACGTGAACATCTGAAAGCTGTTACTTGGAAGCCAAATGATGCTAATACTGAAAACAGAAGAGAGGAGAAAAATGGTAACGCTTTTGCCTAATCAGCAAGCGTCCCCCAAGAGGAACAGAAAGGCAATGCAGGCAGATACTCTCACAGCCCTTGGAGCTGATGCTAGCAGTGTTCCGCTTTCAAGCATCTGCTTCCCTGGGAGAGGAATGGCTTTCTGAATGCAACAGGATGTAAGAGATTAATGGCTTTACCCTGGCTTAAATCTTGTACGCTGGCTTTAAAATCTGCAAGGCAATCCACAATTGGTGTGAGCATAGCAAGGCAAGAGGCTCAGCTGCAAGAGAGGGCCCAAACCCAAAACGTCTTTAGTGCTGCATTTGTCACGCCAACCTTCTGCTGCAGTAAGAGCTGTAGGATGAGTTGGCTCTAATTAGCCACATGTGGCTTTGTCTGTGACTGGGGGGTGGGGAAAAGGACGGGGTACTTCAGTGTCCTGATGCTAGTGAATGGCAAACGGAGCAGAACGGAACTTACCTGGAAAGGCCAGAGATGCTGGCGACAGTTACTACCTATTCTGTGATGCTAGCATTAGCAGTGCTGCTCTGTTCTGGTGTGGGGCAGGCTGCTTTACAGTGTGTTTACAGCCTCTAATTTTTTTCCCCCCCTTCTTCTTCTCTCCTCTAAAAATAATTTATTTGGGTTTGTTTTGTGTCAGTTATTCTAGAGGCTTCCCTCAGTCTTGCCTATTTCTCCCTACCTTCTCAAAATACCTTCATACATAGAGTTGTTTTAGCATGTGACATAATAGAAGGGCAAGAAACCCCAATGGGAAACCTCCTAGAACAAACTGGCTTCAGAGGGAATAGAAACTCCGAAAAACTTGTGTATATCCTGGAGAGGCAATGACCTCAAATAGGGGAAGGCCTCACGGTGATAATTTGCATTATCACCCTCCCACATATTGCTTTATTGCTACTGTGCTGAACTGAATGACAGAAAAGGAGCCTGCTACAGATTTTTTCACCTGTTAGGACTGCCTGCCTGCCTCTCTCACCCCTTCCCCCTCCTCCCAATTCAGAAATAAAAGGAAATTGCTAAAAATATTAGTTACTCCCTAAAAGGAGGAAAGAGATCTTGTAGAAAGAAAGTGCAAAAGCAACATGGTTACAACAAGGTTATCTTCTATGGTGGCTGTGTCTATTCCACTTCTAGTATCTGACCCTCTGACTTTCTTCCAAGTGTGTGTGTGTGTGTGTGTGTGGACGGGTTGTTGTTTTCTGTTTGTTTTGTCAGTTTATGGCATATGGTTTTTCCAGTAAGCACAGAACAGTCCTGCGGTTCATGGTCCAAGACCCAGAAAGCCTAAACTAAACAAGCCAACAGCCCTGCAAGTACAAAGAGCATCTGCTCTGCCATGGTTACAGCCAGATGCACAAGGCTCTCTTAGGAGAGCTGGCATCCCTTTGGGGAAGGACTGTCAGGCTTCCTCTGGGTGAAGTTCTCAGAAATGCTCTGTATGAACTGTCTCTGTGAGGGCCAGGGTAGTTTTATTACTATCTCAACGCCTCAGTCTAACCCAGGCAATACGGAAAGGGACAGATGCTCAAGAACACTACTAGCAGCACATGGCTTTTCATTTCTCTAGTTCAGGCAGGGGTCCAAACTAAGGCATGCAGCCTGTACAAACCCTTGAACCCATGTTTTTCCCACTCTTTTTTTTTTATTTTTTTGGGGGAGGGGGGGGATGCGCTTCGGTAGGGGTTCATTGGTGAGTCTGCTCTTTCTGTAGTCTACAGTAGGCTTCTGTTTCAACTTAGACTGCACTCGTGTCTGCCATCTCCTGACTGCAGTGAGAGGTTTATATACAGCAATAATGAGAGAAGACATTATGTCCTTACCTGGTAATGATTGCTAGATGAGGAGGGTTCATGCATGCTCCCATGAAAAGTACCACGTTCTCATGTCGGGTCTGCCTGTAATTCATCACTTCCTTTTTAAAGAGCTTGAGATGATCCTGATTGTTCCCATCTATCTCCAACAGCCTGATTGCCACTTCTCCATGCCATTTTCCTTTGTAAACCTTCCCCCATCGTCCTTGGCCAATAGGATCCCCCAGCTCAATCTGTTCAAAGGGAATGTCCCACTCTTGCAGGTACACACTGGTCTGGCTAGGTTTGCGATAGATCATCCCTTGCAAGTGTGGCCGTCTGTTTGGCAAGTCTTCCACCTCATCCTCATCATCTTCAGGTTCTGATTTGTTTGTCTCTGGTTCTTCCACCTGTTTGCAAATAACAGGAGGGAAAAATATGTTAGAGTCCTATCTGAGGGGCAGGATCAGCCTACAAGCCAACAGCAAAGGTTGTTTTGAGAGAAGGACTGTAATGCGTTGGATGTATGTGTTTGACTACTGCTTCAGGAATATGCCTCATATGATAAAGTTATCTTGGAAGGCTAAAAGACATATATTATGTATGTATTATGTATGTCACTGCATGCAGCTGAAGACAAGAAAGGCTTTATCCCATGTAGAGCTAAACTTGTAGAACGAGCACTGACATCTAGGGGCTCAGCATCTCTCAGGATTTGGCCTTAAACACGTGTGGGTGGGTGAGGGAACTATAGATCACTTTAAAAGGAAGAGTCAAGGGCCTCTTCATTCTTCAAGCACATTTCTTCTGAGATTATTAAAATTCTTCTTTTGTGCTTGATTCAAAATCCAGTAATTTCTGCTGAAGTCATAGAATCCACCTCTCTTGATTCACTCATCCTAACAGCAACCCATTTCAGGGTTTGAGTCCAGCAGCGCCTAAGCACATGTTCAACTTGCAGCGTGAACAGTCTTGTGGAAAGCTACAAAATGCTTTTCTTAGGCAAAGCATAAGCACATGCACACGTGTTACTTGCAGAGCTGAGGTAGACCTCCTAACTGCAACAACAGGTCTACCTCTTGTAATGTTAAAAATGGCTGCGCCAAACTGAGCGAGCTAGAAGTTTAAAAAGTATCATCTTAGCCCAATTAGAAAAGGTTAATTGTTAAAAGTACTTCTTTGTTTCAACCTAGCTTCAGATATCATGAAATTTCAGTTGATCTTTGCAGTACAAACAGTCTGGTGGGACTAAGGTAAGGCATAGCTAATCTACACTCATAATTTCAGGGCCACGACTTTTTGTATTGCACTTTCAGCATGGAATTTGTGATTGTACAAAAGGGTAAACCAGAAAACCTACCTCTGCTTCACAATGAACTCCATCTGTGTCTGGCTGATCATCAGCACTAACAAGAGAAGATAAGTTTACAGTAAAAATAACACTTGCATATCTAGCTACGTTAGAAAAGTGGGCTGCCACATACACCATCAGTGGAGTGCAAAGAAGTAACAGAAAGCAAACAGATATCGATAGCAACACAGTAAGTCAGAGAAAAATACAATGGCTGCTGTGCTTAACAGATAAGGACTCTCTAAGCTTACTTTGCAAAATGAAGGACAAAAGATTTTTGAAGTGGCTTTCAACAGTGAAGTGACAGGAATTGATTTGGCAGTGGTATGCTACACTGTTAGTCTATTCCAGTAACGGATACTCATATTCCTACTGCTGAAAGGCCTACAGCAGGTCAACCAATTGTGAGTGCAAGCAATGTAGGCTAAAAATTTTTGCATATCCTACAATTCAGATCCTTAAAAAGATGTTTGCTTGCAGCTAAGTTTGCCATGCTCTTTAAATTGTAAAAACTTGTAATTTCTATTTCATTGGACAATTCTGATCTGGGGAAGTTGCACACAAGCATAACCAGATATTAAATGCACAGACTTCTTTCTTACTTGACTCAAATATCACATTTAGCTTTACAAAACTGGCAATACCAGAATCACACCGGCTGACTAATTAACACTCAAGTCTTCAGATGATCAGTTCAGCCGGCTACTTGGTTTTGGTCAAAACATACTGCTTTCATGCAGTGATCTGAAGACTATCAGCTAAATGCTATGCAAATAAAAGAATTAAAAATAATACTTACTTAGTGTCTTCAGCTGTTTCTGGATGCTGTGCTACTTGTGCAGGACTGGGAATTTCTGAGAAAACAAAAAAATCTGATATATATGTTTTATACTTTACTCCCTGAAGTATAATCTGAAGTTTTAACACTTGCAATAAAGATTATTTGCTTCTTATTCAGGAATTGCAAAGTAAACTGAATTATAGACTACAGGATTTTATATCGTTATTCATGTAGAACTATGCTTGTCTTTCACAGTACTTACATGCCTGTGTATTGACCAAGCCCCATCTCTTTCCCATTCACTGACTTATCTGTAACATCTTGCAAGATCAGTCCTTGTCTGTAATCCGCTCACGCCCCTTTAAATTGCCTTAGACAATGAGAAATATTTAAATTCTCACAGAACTGGGACAGCATCTATGCTGCAGGTCATGTATTAAAACTGTATCTGGTGTGACTGGCATCACCAGTGCACAGGAAGTTCAGCTTGGGTTGCAAATCTGTTCAAAATTCAGAGTAAATACTCTGTACGTTACATTCTCCATCACCAGATCTCAAGTGAGAAACAAGCTGCTTCCAAGGATTCATGATCAGTGACTGAAGAAAAAGAGTTTGTACCTGCAAATCCACATATGTGAAATTTCTAAAAAGATTCACACCTCTACTGGCAGTTTTTTAGGAGTTCACATTGAAAGCATGAAGCCTGCTGCTTTAAATGCATTTTCATAGGGCTTCTAACTGTCTAAATTAATAGAGTTGCATCATTCTTAAATCCCATAGGCAAGAATTTCAGTTTATATAAGTTAGCTCAGCATTCCTGAAATGAAAGAGCGGCCATTTGTACTAGCTAAGTAATATGACCTTGTAGAGGCAGGAAAGCTAACTTTTTAAGGGAAGAACATGGTTGTGTATAGAAGCTCATAGCAGAAATCTGCTGTTATATAACTGAATAGTAGGAGTTTCATCCTAGTACATAAGGATGTACCACCTCATATTAGGAGAGAGAAGTCTGAATTGTTACCCTTTATATGTTGAGATAAGAGAAAGCTTTGTTTTAGATATGTTTTTGTTTGAAAAGCAGAATCATCATTCTCAGGCAGCATGCAGAAGTTTAAAAACAAGTTTAGCAAACAAGCACAAGTTATACAAGTTACAAAAAAGCAGCGTAGGCTGGTTAGTAGAATTAAAACAATGAACTCACCTGGGAAGATAAATTGTTGTCTATGCTGAATGTAGTAGGCAGCTTTTCCAAGAAAAAAAAAGGGGGGGAGGGAAGAGGAGCGGACAGCAAAAAAAAAAAAAATCCAGGAAAAAAAGAACAAATTAGAGGATCATCAGCAAGTGCCCCCCACGCATTCAATGAATTAGTCCCAACTCTCTGTTGGGAAACAGATTAGTAGATTATCAGCTTGCTTGAGGGGGGGGAATTTCAGCACATGCATTTTTGGAAGACTAAGATGATACACAAACATCAAATGAAAGCTATACTACCGATAAGCAAACAGCCTGGTGGAACAAAAAATGCATTCAGACTTCAAATGGTAGAAGCAAGTTTAGAGAACCTAGGGTTGCCAAAAGGCCCTGGTAAGGGTCTTTCTGGTGCTTCAGTGCTCTCCCTTGCCTTCAGTTTCAGCTTTTCAGACATGCATCCTGAGAGGCTGAAACTCATGAGCCATCTTCAAGCATTTTTTATTAGGCTGTACTATAAATATTCAGTGAAATAAAGTGGGTTCAGCAGAATTCTTATACTGAACTGAGGCACTGATTCTGCTCCACTGGAGTGGGCTAAAATAGTGACTTTCACTCACAGATCAAAGGCTTGTTGTAAAAAATATAGCAATGTCAAAGGCTAGACGGGGCAGCTGTTGAGCAACATGTGACTTAATTTCCAGGTAGAAGGAACTAAATTTATTCTCACTATGTAAGTCTTTGCCCTTGTCAGGGATCCTTGCCTCCATCGACTTTGGTAAGGGCAGCACATTTACATCCTCAATGTGTAAAGTGTGTAGGGTAAATTCTTTTCCACCTTAGTTGCATGACAAATGTTTAAAAATGAATGTTAGTTGATCGTTATCTTTGGAAGGGACTGGCAAAGTGACTTATCTCAGTTCTCCTTTTCCATGTTTTGCTCTAGCAGTCAACTTGCTCATGATTTAAAGCCACTGGTGACCAAATATGGCAAGCAGCATGCACTTTGCAACATATTGAGAAAATGGTGGAGTATATCATTAAAAAGGAGAAAACAGAAAGATCAGATCATGTAAGAAAGGTGCTAGCACTCTTCAGTAAGTTGTCTTCTGGAAAGGTACCTTTTATTGTTGATACCACTTAAAATATGTAAGAACAGACTCTTTTCTTTTATCAGATAGTTGATTCAACTTCACACCTTGCATAAGATGCAACCATGTATTCAGAAACCTACCACTACCTAGGAAGTCTTGATCAGCCTCTTCTTGCATAGAGAGGCCTTTCTGATGTTGGCAGTTCTCCTGAAAAATATAGGTTTACCTGGGAAGTTAAACCGTCCATCCCTCTGGCCCATAGGAGATGGGTTTGGGGGAGGTGTTGCACTAGGAGGGTTGGAAGACGGAAAAGGTGCTGGGGAAGATGGTGTGGAAGAGGTTGTAGAGGAGGGGTTACTGCTGGAGTCCAGATGATTTATTGCTGGTGGATGCTCCTGCAAAGCAATTAAAGTCACTGGTGAGAAAATAAGTAAAAAATTAAAAAATTATCCTCAATATTTATTAAACAGAGAAAAGAAATATAGCGTATTTTTTGTAAGTGAGCAGGGGCTGGAACTGTGCTGGAAACCCTTTTTTACATGGAGAAAACATCATGTGTCAAAGTCTCTTTGCAAAGTGAAGGCTCACATGCCAGCATGTTAGTAACAGTGCAGTTCTTGCTCCAGCCAGCAAGGTACTGCTGGCCATCTCTCCTTATGGTAGCTCCTTAGTCATTTACAGACTTCAGTCTGTAAATGTAAACAGTCACTTCAGTCACCAAGTACCTTTTTAGTTAGTGCTTTGGGAAGAGTTCCAAACTGCGGTTCTGTCGGTCTGTCTACCGGGTTATTGATGTCAGAAGGGACAGACTCTGTCCTCCTTATTTTTGTTACTGAAAAACAGGTGAAAGAAGAGAGGAGGAGAAAAAAGCTTTAATCAGACTTATTATTGTGGTACCATCAATTATGTTGTAAGTACTAAGATTTTGCAGGCTGCTTACTGGGAAGGAAGGATATTCTACAAGCAGGTGCCTCTTTAGTACATTTGTTATGACACTTTAACCTGAAAGAGAAAGATTACACATTAAACAGCAACTTGTTCATTCCCCAAAAGAGGAAGCCTAGCCTTCATTTGTTGTGCTCATGCTAATCTCAGAGGTCTGGAAAGCTCTAGGGCCCCACTGCAGGCCTGTGCATTCAAGTCAAGAACCCTATTATCTATGTCACTAGGCTAATTAAAAACAGATACGTGTCTTAGCATCTGATTTATTTTTAATATAGTTTCCTTCACTGATCCCTATGGTGAGACAGAAGACTGCTAAAAATCTTAATGCTATGGATAGACAATCCAGTTAGAGAATCAAAAACTGAAATCCTCATAAGAATCAAAAACTGAAATCCTCATAGCTAGTTAGGTATCCAACTCCCACTAAAAGACTTGCCCATGATCAGGTAGGAAGCTTGTGGCAGTTAAGTGAATTGGGTTCCTCCATATGTCAGCCTTCCAACCTAAGTACAAGTCATGCTGATGCATCCCATTGCCATTTCAGAAGCCGACTGAAAAAATTATGCCTCTGTTAAGTGTTATCGCATCAAGAAATATATTTGGTAATGGCAAACTTTAATGAATCAAATGTAAAGTTCTTCTGTAAAAGATCATCTCTGTGTGCTCACCTGCAGTACTTACACTTCACCCCGAACATCATGCTTTTCTGACAGACTTGGCAAATCTGAGATAACCAAGACTTTGTGGAGAACCTAAGCAGAAGAGGGGGAAATGACATTAATTAGTGTCGACAGAAAAGGTACAGCTTTTAGTTAGCTACAGACAGGCTATAGCCTATCCCTTTCTAAGAAAAGTAAGCAGTATTTTGAAAAAAACTTCTTGCTTTTCTAATCTAGAGCAACTTCAAGAAGGCTGGCACCAACTCTGGCCTCCTGCTAGCCCCTCAGCTCTTGCAAAAAGTCTGAAAGGTGCTCAGAGGTGATTCTGACTATGGAGACTGGCTGTGTGTGAACAAACATCTCTAGAAGGTCCTTAAAGCTGCACATCAGCAAGACAGCAATTACAGATCTGAAGCTTTATGCAGTCAAACATACCTGAGTGACAGAAGATCTCTTCTTTTCATAAAACAAGCTCAAATTGGAAGTGATCGTCACCTCATGAAATAAGCAAGTGCTCTGAAAGGGAGCAGCCAGGACACACTCCAAGTACAGATGCAGCCTGTACGTGTGCTGCTAATCAGCTGCTAGTATCCATCTTCAGGTCAGCAGGACAAGTCATGTTGTGTGGCTTAAATGCACCTGAATGTTTCTGTACAACTGAAACAGTTTTGTGTGTGTGTGTGTGTGTGTGGCAGTGCTTGTGGGGAGGAGCGTTATCCCATTTACCAGAAAATTAAAGTAAACCAATAGGTTGGTGTTAGAACTGGTTGGGGAGCCAGTTGGTTGAGATTTGGGAATGGGGATTCAGGCAGTTGCAAGGAAGAAAAAGGGATATATTTGCCCTTTCCACACAGGGAGGAGTAGCTTCCCTTTCATCTGTATCAGTGAAAGCATTTCGGGAAAGGCATTGTTACACATTTGATAGACTTAGTCCTATCACCCTGGACATGACCCCCGTACAAAACCCTGCTACCGCTGATACACTGCTCATCACAGAATCCCAGTCAACTGGCTTTGTAAAAAAAAAAAAAAGGATTACAGGTGCTGGACACATCAGCAGCATGTTAAAAACAAATGAAGCTAAAATATGAAATTAAAGCTGCACTTCACAAATGAGGCACCCCACCTAGCTTCAAGCCCATCTTAGTCATCACTACTCTGAACAGCACAAAATAGGGTAGAGTCCTAGTCTGACCCATTTGTTTCTTTCGTGTCTCACACAGCACACGCTGCTTACCTGTGTGTTACAGCTAAGCCAAAATCTCTTCGTACCATCTGAGGGGATCCTTGGGAGAGTTCTGATGGAGAACAAAAGGATATATTAGGGAAGCATTAGGCACAAGTGTGTTTACCAGTGGAGACAGCTATAATAGTGATCATTTTGTTTCTAAGGACTAGTAGCTATGACACTGCTAGTAGCACAGCTGACGTTGGTTTGCCTTCTGCTATAAAGCCATCAGATACTGCTCTTTTATTTGCTTTTATATAGAAGTAATGTAAGATAAGATTTGGTGATGGAATTAGAATTCCCCCTTCTTTTTGTTAAACATAAAACAAAAAGAAGAAAATTTACAGGTTACTGAAGGTCTCCTCTTCTCAGGGATGTAGCCATTCCAAAAACAAAAAGCTTGACCAAATGGGTTTTAAACCAGTGCTCCCAATAGGTATTTCTATTTCTCAATCTGTTACTCTTCAAGGAAACTAAATGCAGTACTGAGACTTGCTTTTAGAAAAAGAGTTAATTTTTGATAAACTAGATTCACAAGTCAGAACAGCTGTAGTCATATATTATAGAATAGTTTTAAAGGCAGAGTGAATATGTGGCCAAGGAATCAGGAAAGAAGCTTACAAAAAAGAAGGTAAACTGATGCTTCTCATCAAATGTGATCAGATGCCCATTTAAGAGAGCAGACTTTAAAAGCTGAAAGTCAGACAGTTGTTTACTCCAAATTGGTTTATCACCAATACTATCACCCAGTTTTCAGGCAATGTCAATTGATTTCAAAGTATTCTTTTACGATGAGAATTGTATTATCTCCATTTTATAGACAGAGCCAGTGGGACCCAAAAGAATACAAAGATTTGTGTGGGATCACTTAGCAGGCCAATAAATGTAGAAAAGGAGATCTAGACTCCAAAATCTTAGTCCAGTGCTCCAGTAGTTATACCAGAATCTTAGTATTTGAGAGTTTTTAGGAAGTCTTATGGTATATTTCCTGTATTAAATCTATAGCCATATTGCAAAACTGGAGAAGACCCAATCTACGGGCACTAACACAGCTTCAAGGCTGGACACTGCCACTGCTTACAAAAAGCCTGTCCCCATCTTTGACCATAGATGGCACCAGATTCTTTTTTTATCATGATTACAGTGAACTTTCTAAGGCATCTGTGGTCTTCTGCATCTTAGCGTAGGCTGTAATAACTAGTTGTTTTTCAAAGGAATATATTTGCATGAAACTGATGTAGTTTGGCTATCCAAACCTACACTGAATTAATCATATTAACATCAGTTAACATTCCTAAACCCCTACTGAAGAATCCTAATGAATTTAAGAGAGAGAATAGAAATGAATGGGACTAATTTTCATTTGAATTTCTTTTTATGCCTTTTTTATTTCTTATATAAATTCTGTTACTCTCCACAGAAAAATGCTCAGGTTTCTTTTTACATTTTCTTTTTTTTTTTTTGTCTTTATATTTATTAATTTCTGCAAGTAATTCCTGGGATTTTTGTTGTAAAGGACATTAAATATACAGGTGGTGCTATAATGTCCTTATAGTTTTTTATACTTAAGAGGCAGGTGAGGAGGTTTCAGTGAGCCCAAAGCTCTCTCCGTTAGCTTCAGGGTTACAGGTTCTGTGTCTATGAGACAGACGTGCATAATCATGTCAGGAGAGCTAAAACACTAATGCTGATATATTACCTGCACAAAAGCACAAGTCCTAGTGCTGCAACCCCTTAAATATATGACTAGTCCCACAAACTTCAGAAGAAGTCTTCCCATTAACGCACATGCTGAAGTGTCTCTCCAAAGGTTGTATGCGACCATGTAATTTCATTATGCAAAGAAATTGAGCGTTGGATATCCAAAGAAATAAAGTTACAGTATTTCTAGTACTAAGAGACACAATCAGCTGTCTGATGTCATAGACAATCAATTACAACCAAAACAAAAAACAAAACCCTGCTCTAATACTCAAAATATCTGTATTACTTTCTGTTGCTTTAGTCATCTGAAGAACTACCAGCACAAACAAGGACCCTGTAAGGATCCTGCAGCTCTCCAACAGGCCAAGCTCCTGTTAAAGTTAACAGGAACTCTGGGATACAAGCCCTGTTGAGGACCTCCAAAGGTTGCAGAGAAGATGATCATGCTGCAGATAATTGACAAGGACGGGTTCCTCCCTCTCAGGCAATGAAATGAAGATAGCCCTGTAAAAATCTCTTACCGAACCTACAGGACAAAAAAAAAAAATTTTTTTTAGACATTCATATTCATGTGACAGGATACAGACTTTGTTAGAGCAGAAACTCTTTCCTGCAGCCTTCGATGTCAGATTTACAAACATCTCTGTTTTTGCACAGGCTCCTGAAGTCACTGCATAGCCAGTATATTTCCCTGCCTACAAGCACTACTAGGCTTTGCGGGGTAGAATTCTAGCTCCAGGCTGAATGGAGCATACAACAGTGTACGAGAATTTTGGCTTGCAGACCAGAACTGTTAATGGAGCTGGGCACTCCCGTCCACTGGAAGGCTCCACGGAAGTGTCTGAATCAAGGAACTGCTATATTTTGCTCTTCCTATCAATCAGACTTATTCAGTGGAAGCTGGATCACAGCAGGACCTGTTTCTTTCCACTGAATTTCAAAACAAAGCTGTGTATTGACCATATGACCACAGGTCTTTTCAGTTCAAGGTCACCCTTTTCACCCATTCCTAAATGGAAACTGCTTACTTGTTGCATTTAGAGGTCTAGCAATTTGCCGGGTTTAGTACACAACTCATATGCATACACAGTGTATAACAATAATACGCTGCTCACAGGGCAACACCTTTATAATGAACTCCTTCATGCTCATCAGCAAGCAGTACAGTACCACAGCATCAAAAGCAAAGCGCTTTGTTCTTAATGCTCACACCCAAAATCTCAACTCCATTTTGAGTTGAGTAGGCTCTGTGGCTATCCTAGAACATTGTGCTGATATAGGTTCTTAGACTACAGCGAAACCATGACCAGGCAAGTAGACATCAGCTCTTTTATATGAAAGCTAAACTGGAGCAGTAAGTACCTTTCGGTATGAACATAGCCCACCAATGCGCATAGGGAAGGAGGAAGCATCATGCTTACTTTATTGGAGGAATTTCATCTATCCTGTTTCCCAACTGTGATTCATGAGACTTGCTCCTTGTGAGGGTTGGAAAATTAGGTAGCAGTTGAAAAACCTTCCGACAAGGGGGAGGCGGAGTCCGTGGTGGCTTCAACTTATGTCGTCTCTTGGCTTGAGGAGTGGTTGGTGGAGTTATAGTGATGCTATGAGGAGTCCTTGCTGCTAACCTTCCACTGTGTGCAGGGAAAGCAAAAGGGTCCAGGAGGTTATCTGCATAGACAGAGGGTCCATGACTTGAAGCAAGAGAATCTGAAGATGGGACTGTGGATACTGATGCAGAACGTGCCTGCTGGCTGCTGCCCTTGGGAAGGTGCAATGCAGTGGGAGTCCACGTAGGTGCAGAGGAGCAGGGGGGTTCTGTCGGGTTTACAGAGCTGCTCTCTCGGCGTGCCTCAGGAAGATTCATCAGCACATCATCTTTTAACTCCCCACCTGTTCATCAACCACAGCAGTGTTAGTGAGAAAAGTCACCATATATACACACACTCCATGATGCAGTGCTAGGCTGTGAGGTGGGTTTTTTCTCTCCTTTGTGCCTAGCCAAGTAATTGTTTCTCCTCCCCTAGGACCCTTCTAAGCCATGAGCTAAGTTACCTTTAAAATGAGGGCATTAATCACCCTTCTTTTCTATCTGTAGCCATGTATTTCAAAAGCTAAAATCAGGTCCCACATTCTATGATGGGGTCAGTTTTACTAGATTGGGGCCCTATTGAAGAGTGTGGTATATACATTAAGGGCATGAAACAGGCACCTACATCCCACTGCAAGTCTATGGGGTTTTGCTGCCAACTCATTTAGATAAATCTGTACATCCAACCTGTTATCCTGTCTATTTTTAGACCGGTCCTTGGTCAGGAAAGTAAACTTTATTAGCCAACCAAATTTCTAAATACCACCTTATGGAACTGAGAAAGGCCATTGATTGAATGGGTGGTGCGTGGGAAAAGGGTGTCTAGGAGATGCTGGGCACTGACTTGTACACTTCTCTCTTTGACATGTAACCATTGCCCAGAACTTACCCGATGCCTGGAGTACTGGGGCACGGCTGTTCAATTAGAGACTGCTGAGCAGCAGTGCTCAGCACAGAATTGCTGTATTTGTTCAGACTGTGTTAACTGGAGCTTTACCAGGGACAGAGAGCTGGACAAAAAGGAACCAAAACATCATGCTGGATCATTGGTGGAGCCCAGCACCAACCTCTACAATGCTTATCACTGTAGTTCAGAATGGCCACTGTAGCCAGTAACGTTGGCACACCAATTCTGGGTATAAAAGGGAAAAACATGTACAGATGCCTGCAAACAGTAGAGCAGGAACATATACATGATTGGGATAATTTCAGAGGCATAACTCAGCAGGATAACTGTTTAGCTTAATTTTAAGTATGTCCTTAATCACTTAAAAAAAGCAATGTGAAACGTCAAGGCTTCAGGCCCTGAGGTCATACTGACAGTCAGTGGTTGAACATACACCTAGTTTTAAAAATAGTAATCGTACCTCTCAAAACATAAAACATTTTTTAAAGGAAGGGAGACAAACAATAATATATTTACTTAAACTTGAATCAGATGCCATTTTTTTGTAATAAGCGAATGCCATGCCTCCTGAACAATGACTGGCTTTGCCACAGTACAGCTGGAAAATATCTGATAGCCCAAAACAGAAAGATTACAAAAAGGAAATATGAAATTGAGCTATTTTCCTGGTTTTTCCATTAACTAGTCTTTATGATTTGTGGGTGGTATGAACTGTTATAATACCAACAGGAAGCATCACCTTTCAGTGACAGATTGATAACTTCTACAAAGAAAGATCTGATGCACATTAGTACCACTATGCTGTGAGAAACACTCTCATACAAGCAGAATTTACAATGCCTTTAAAAACAGCCTGGGGAGGTGGATGGGGGGGATGATGGTAAAACAGCATTCTGAGAATCTAGAGTTTATCTTCTAAAATAACTTGTTCAGATCCACGTGCATGCTGAATATGCACATTTCTAATTACACAATTCCCTTCTTTCTACAATTTCAAGGTAAATCAGAGTTCTTTCTAGTTCTTCTATCTGCTATTGGTATTTGGCTAATGATTCTATTGATTCTAGCAGCCAGAGCAAAAACAGCAGGTGGCAAGTGGTTTTTAAACAGGAGTGAATCAATTGGCATTCTATAAGCTATGCAGTGCTAAAGGGTTGACAGTGGAAATTTTTGTCTTTCCAAGGCATCAAAATGAAAAATACTCAAGTCTTCTGAGCAAAGTCAGGGAAAACATAATTACACCTTCTCTCTGAGTTGACAATATTTGGGGAGGAGATTATGAGAAATCAGGTTCAATTTATTAGGGCAAGGATATAGGTACTGAATGATAGAGGATGAACGAGCATCAGACCCAACTCTGAACATGGAATAAGGAATAACTTTGTTGAGCCGGAGGGATATTTCTATATACAATTATTTCAACAGCTGAACACGCTGTTAAAACCAGATCCCATCCACAGCTCTAGATGCATTTGATCACTGCAACTTCATGTATATACAAGAGCCATAACCTAATACAGGTTACAGAATATAGCTAATGACACTTTCCAGAGGTTTTTGCAGATTGTCTCATATAAAAGGAAACAGGATGGGGGGCTGAGTTACTGAGAAATGAATCCCATACAACAAGGTAGTTGGTACCTGATTCAGTCACCTTCCTTAAGCAGCTCAGTGCCCCATTGAGTCTGGAGCACTCCTCATCTCTGGCACCACATCTCTTCATGGTTTCCTTCACCTTTGACTCATTCATTTCTAGTAAGGCATCTAAGGTTAGCTCCTCTGGTATTCTCTGCAGAAAAATAAGATCATACATACTTTATATATCTATGTATCTATATATAGATGTATGTATAAATATATGCGCACACGCACACGCGCGCGCACACACGCACACACACACACACACACATATGTATATATAACAGACTGCCATTCATTGTTCTGATGTATTTTAAGCAGTGCCACTGTCTTGCTGCCTAGTCTGACTCATGATTTACTCATTTTGGTAGTGCTTCTCTCTTAAGGGTCACTGGGTCAGCAGTGACTGTGCAGCAGATGACAGCAGGGCCTAACAGCTGCTCTCACCTCCCTACACCAGGAGAGAGCTGGTGTACACTAGAATGTGCTCTGTACCACGGGCACGTTACGGTCGATCTCCAGTACTAAGTTAGGATTAGAGGTAATTGAAGGGGAAAGCTTACACCCAGTATTTTTTGAAGTTACTAATGAATGTTAAACTTTTTCATTAAAAATAACAATCATAAAACAAAACTGATAGGAAAACTGAAAAAAGTCATATAAAGACTTTAAGCTTTTCAGTAGGGAAATGAAAAGCAAAAACAGTGAGGAAAATAGCTTCTTTCATTAACAAAATGAAATGTTTTGACAAAGCGCTTCTTCCTCAAGCAATTCTTTTCTCCACTAGAGAACCTGCCTTACCCATATCTTGCTTAGAAAGATATTTGTGCAGAACTCCATGTACTACTTCATATGCCAAAGTCCCAAAAACGATAAGGTTTAAATCAGACAGACACAAAGGATATAGGAGACTAAAAAGCATGAAATGATCTGGTATTTCCAGATACAAAGTAGAGGGGTGTTGCTTCCCTCCTCCCCCATTCAAATGTTTCCATTGCACGTTTGCAGCCCTTGTAAATGATAAACAAAACCAGGATACTTAGCCCAGATACCCAGGAATTTCCCTGAAAGTTTTGCCTAAACAAACCTCACTGCTGCCTACTCTCAGAATGAGATCACAAATTTCACAATATTTGGCCTCTTTCCTAAAGTTCCAACTCCCAGAATCATGCTATGTAATAGAGTTTTTTAGGCTTTTATTTTAAGGGGAAACTCTAAAGCATGTCTCACTCTGACAATAAAAAGCTTGAGATCCTACAGATATTTAGAACGCCCTTCAAACCCTAAAAGGCTATAAATCAAATTTGAAAGAGTGCTGCTGGATGTCCTTTAAAGATCACATCTATCTTCATACAAACTCATGCCTTTAAGACTTGACTCATGGCTTTAATTTCAACTGTGACAGTGCTAGAAACAGACCCAACCTTTGGAGCTTTGCATGAGGTAACACAAACAGTAATCATGTAGTTTCCTTTTTAAGTGACTGTTATCATGGAGAAAAGAAAAATAATAAAGCAAGAAAGGCCAGGAGTAAAGTCTAAGCAATGCATCCTGCATCTTTGGTCACATGCATTCTCAGGATAAAACACAAAATGCAGCTGACTCAAAGAGAGGCCAAGAATTTAAAGGCTCAGTAAACACAAAGTAGTTCTACAGAGCCAGAGTTCAGAGAAATTGTCGTAAATTTTCTTTTTATTTTAGAATTGATATTAGTAGAATAATAATAGTACAGATACCCCATCTGAGGTTGGAAGTACCAGCAATTATCATTCATTTTCCTTTACATCTGCACCTCCAAGACGCAGGAATAACTGAATCTCCCCAAGAAAGCTTGTTCTTGAATGACTTCCACTTGTATAAAAAGCAGGAACTGCTAAGATTCCAGTGAAAATGCAGTGTGAATTCTGCTCTCCTGGGATTCCTAACCTGATATTACACACTCCAAAAGGACAAAGAAAAATCCAGGAATTCAGATTATCTAGGTTGAAACTGCAATGATTTTATTCAAATAGAAATATTCTCTGGGGATAGAAGTAAGTCTGGTTCCTAAAATGAAGAGATGAATCAAAACTGATTTGGTTGCTTTCATAGAGGTAACTTGATCTCAAACATTCTGAAATGCTCAAATAGTTATATTGAGCACACACAGTTGAGTACACAATTGAGTCCAAAGTGATTGAGAGAGAGAAATAACCTGCCCTAATTTAGGCATCTCAGTGTTAAACACCTTAAGTTTGAGCTAATCATCCTAAAATCCAGAGCTGACATTTTCCAGCACGAAGCCAGCGCAAGTTGGCTTGCAAAAAGCCCCAGCCAAAACTGGGCTGATAACAATCAAATTAAATCAAATCTAACTTATAGGTAGTTCTTTCCCCACCATGCTCTGAATTCCTCTCCAGCGCACACAGACTAGCAGCTCACTGAGGCATCTTCCTTCAGCAGCATCACACAGGCAGCACTAAGGTGCAGGCAGGCAGCTTCAGAAATCAACACAAGAAGCTCTAAAAGGGACAGTCACTGGGGGGACAAACAGCCGTGGGGCAAGCGTGATGTGACTCCAAAATGTAGGAGTGTATGCTGGGTTAGCCAGTGTTCACAGGGGTAAGGAGTCAGCCACTGATGTCCTTCTAGTGCCTTCACCTACGTGCTCCCCAAAACACTCGTTATAGCATAATATAGAAAAGCGCCTGCTAAACTGCCACTGGCGCCCTTGTGCTTTGAAGCATGGAAGTTTATGCTTCCCTTAAGCATGTGGGAAAGCCAGTGTCCCTCACAAAGTTATTTATCCCATTTCATGTAGATGTTACTTTTACATAGTTTTATAACAACCAGGATTGCAGCTATGTCATTCCTGAATTATTTTGAAACATTTCCCTACCACCACTCCCCACTAAGAAAACAACCCAGATGACTTAGCTGCTGCTCTAAGTAACACTGTCATTCCAGATCCCAGCATAAGCTATCAAGTCACGTTACTCAGTATCACCACAACTTCCCTATCCTTTGCCCAGCACCAGTGTAACTGGTAACTTATTAGAGCTATTAGAAAAGTGAGTCAGTAAAGTGAAAGAGACGAAGGTTTCCTTGGGAATGCAACGCACCTCAGCCCCAGCCAGGCTCGCTCGCCCAGGCTTAAATGGGAGCGCAAGCATCTGGACTGCAGGGGCAGCTGGGACAGGCTGTTACAGCACAGCTGGGGATCTGGGTTCTTCATTGCCTTCTCTGTGGCAGGTCCTAGAATAGACAAGCACCACTGATCTGTAGTGTTACTGCTTCAGGTAACGATTGGGGGTATCAAACCAAGATTTAGGCTGGCAGAAATGTTAGTGAGCCACAATGCTTTGTGTGGTGTGGGATCAGATACTGAAAAAGGTTCTTTCAGTCCAGCTTAGAGATCACAGGAGTCAGTAAACCAAATCCTAATAAAAGAATTTTTTTGGAAATGCATAGGCATCAGAAAAAAGTAGGAAATTAGTTTGTTCTGCAAGTGTGTCTAGTGAAGTAGCTAAGATACAGTTAGATTCTCTTCTATCTGCTCACCTTTTACAAGAAGAAGGGTGAAGTACAGCAGTTACCTAGAGCAGGGACCACTGTACCTTTCACAAGAGTCTTGTACCTGTACAGTCAGTCGTCAGTGGAGGCCTGTATACTGAAAAAATAACTATATACTGACTGTGTGCTTCAAGCTATATCAATGAGGCAGTATGGACTATTTTAACTTATGCTAAATTAGCTCTCCTGGTTGGGCTAGTGTAGACAAAGCTTAATCAGGGAATTCCCATCCCCTACTGTATGGGGTATGTGGAATGGCATCCAGGCTTAGTTCCTGACTATAACAGCACGCAGAGTCAGCACACCCAGGGGACAACTCACAAGCACAAAATTCTTGAGCTCGCAACAGTGCAGATGCCTGAGGATGACCGAGGGGGCAATATTCACTGAGGGGGCCTGGACAGGAATGCTCCTGCACAGGAGCATTCAGAGCTTCACAGGCCCTTCTCACATTCCCAGAGGTGAGCACACGCAAATCTACATTTACCCAACAGAATTAAGCTCTCATCTTTGTCCCATGGCAACCTGATGGTTAAACTCTAGGATTGCCTGTTCTTGCAAGTCTGACAGTATTTAGTGCTTTTCTCATTTTTAAGTTCAAACTCCTGTAACCAGGAATCCCCAGCTTTCACTTTAATTTAAGCCTTCCTGGTCGCAGAGAAAAACCCTGAAAACACTTTAAGAAAAAATAAATTACAAAAAGTTCCAAACTGTTGAGCTTTTCAGAAGCGTCAGGACATTTTTTCCTTAGTCTCACTCATTTGCAGGACACAATTCTGCCTCTACGGAGGGCTTAGGCTTGGTTGTCCCTAAGCAGACTGGTTTCACTTGCTTAAGCAGGTCTGTGTTTTACCCAACTCAACGTACGGCCTGCTACGAAAAGCTTTAATGGCTCACACCAGGCGTAGCTGAACAGCAAAGGGCAGCTCCAGCTCTTCACTGCTGACTTTACTCTGCAGCCCTTGCATGATCTCACGCAACGCGCACACTGACAAAGGGTCCAACCTGCTGCCAGCTTGCCTCCTTCCTGGGTCTGCACATAGTTCAATTTTAGAAAGACAGAATAGCAAGTTGTAGGAAAGTATAAGTACAGAAAAGGAGATTATATTTAAACAATCCCAGTGACCTTGAGCTGGAAGAGCTCAGACTTTCTGAACCTGCTGCCAGCCCCCATGACACGCGACAAAAGAAATAAGCCTCCAAAGAGGGGGAGGGAGGGGAAGTAAGAGGCTTTCTTTGAACAGCCACTCATGTGCTGCACATATGTGGTGGCTTAATATAAAACTGGTCAACCTGATCCCTGCAAGATTAGCTTGATATAATTCACCTTTGTGTTAGCCCCCAGGCCAATGTGATAATGATGAGGGTCACTAGTTCAAGACAGCTCTTAAAACTGGCTCAGTTGTGGCTGGTGCTCTTGCTCAGCTGCTGCACTGGGGAGAAGAATGTTCCCTGCAAACCTCCCTGTCCGTGTCCATCTCAGGGGACCATGTGGAGGGCTCCAACCTTCTCAATGTAGTGCAATTCTGGGCACTTGCAAGGCAGTTACTCCCTATCTTCAGCACTGATGGTGAGAAACATGGGTCCAACAGACCTCTC